ACTCACTTATTGAAACTGGCATCCGTAGATGAATACCAGATTATAAGCCGGCGTGGCATTCGGGGATTCATTTGCAATCAATCCATCATTATCACTGCAACCGTAACGGGGCATACTCAACCCCGACAGTTTAAGCCCTCAATAGCGGGTATTCAGATTCAGACCGAAACTGGAGAAATTCCAACCCGTGATCACGTGTTCATCAGTTATTGATAATAACCTAATAGAGTTCCTCGTGGAAGGTTTGGCAACACTGCAATTGAGAAGCGACAAGCAGCGGAGCTGAATTGGATTACGATTCTGGCAGATGCTAGATATTACTGCTTTGAAGTTCGCAAGCTATGGTGAGCGTGAATCCCAGTTTGTTAGATAAGTTATGTGTCATGTACAATGGAAATGTATTTTAGTTTATATCATTTCAAATGGTTTTTATTTTGCAGAAAGATTGCATTTCTGTTAGATAATATTATTGCTTTAATATTTACTGGATATATGTTGGAAATAATAAGAAGTCTGTTAAGTATACGTTCTAGAATTTTTGACCATTTCCACTCATAAATTTTTAATAAATTTTTTTTTCAAAAAGATATTGATAAATAAATTAATTATTTAGTAAGCAAAAACTTCAACGCGTTCTTTCTAAAATCACAAAAATGTGGAAAAAATTATTAGTTAATTTTTTGGTAATTCATGTAAGGCGCAGGTCTGATGTGAATGTTGGGCTTTTTACTCTACCATGTAAAAAGAAATGTTTGCTTGTCTCAAAATCTGTAGGCAGATAGGCTCTTGACTCACCATGGTTTGTAGTGCCAGGGAATTAGTTATAATTCAGTATTTTATGTTGAAATTCGATGAATTTTTTATCTTTAATTTGTTCATCCAACTCAAGTAAAACCAATATACTTGGTGCGTGCCTGATACATATGATTGATTAAAATTGCTTTTTTCTAATTTTTATAATGATACCAACCAACTCAGGATAAAATCAGAATCAGGTTCAACAGATTCCTCTTGCCATGGTATGTGCTTTAGTGCTATACATCATTTGCCGCTGGAGATTTCTAGCATAAGCCCCAGATACCATGTCTTGCTTCTTGTGATTTATCTTGGGTAAAATGAAATCTGTTGCATATTTGCTGTTTCTTTTACAAATAACCTCAAATTAAAATTCCCAATATTTGAAACATTAATTTTTTCTAATTAATGAAACATTTAATTTTTCTAAAAAGATTTCTGTGCAAATTTATTTTAAATTGTATCTAACCATTTTTAAAAATTTAATTTTCAGAATATACCATAATTCAAAATTCACTGCTGCAGTTTAGAATGTAAATTGAATATTTAATTAATTAAACAGCAAAGTCAATAATGAATGTATTAGTGATTCGTCAACTGTATTTAAAATAAAAATCCCGTAATTGATATTCGTTGTCTCTTCTGTTTCTGCATTCTTGATGGAAGAGTCAATTTAATCACGTTTTTTAATTGGAAGCCGCAAGCAGGCGAGTAATTACTTTCTTCATTAAAAGAAAATTCCATTAGGAATTCTATTATGTGGAGAGATTCATTAATGGCGTAGACGTTTTCAAAATGTATCGCAGAAACAGTTTGTTCACCTTTACCTCCCGAACAATTCTTTTTTTTTTAAATAAAGAATAAGATTTCATTCTTGCAATTACTCTTGATTCGGTTCTCAAAGTAAACTTTTTGTTTCATGGAGAGGGGAGATGATTTAGTTCTGATTAATTAATGCAGTTCGACAATGCACACGTAGTTGAAAACTGTTCGATATTTTCATTTTTGAGGATTTTAAAACTTGAGTTTTAAACATCACACTATTGAAATATTTAAATGCACAATGACGTTGTAAAAACCTTTCTTCAGATGAAATTACTTGAGAATCATTACAGTTGTCAGATTTTTATTTTAAACATTCCGAACTTACAATTTTTTAAAGATATGAATGTGTGACTATATTGTAAAGCCTTTATAATTTTCCATTCTTAACATTAATCACCATATTTTTATTTGATAAATATAACTAAATTAATCTTCATTAATTATATTTTAATTTTTATATTTTGGTCTCATTCAAAAAAGAAAAACTGTAATTCATGTTACTATAAAATCTATTTTGTCCGTCAAAGAATTTAATTTTTATCACCCATTACTGAATTTAATCGGTCGCATAATTTAATTTTGATCGGCCATGTACAACTGTTTTTGTTGGGTTTCGCTCATTTTAGAAACCCGTACAGTGGATTGCTTTTTTTCCCAAGCTTTTAAGCTTAGATTCAAGTTTCGTCATCTGTGTAAATGATGTACAGATCTCTTAACGCACCGTAATTGTGGTTTCTGAATCATTTCTTTGTACCAATTGACACAGTGACTGTCAATTTATGCGTAACCAAACGCGGAAAAAAAAAATTTGCATCTAAATGTTCATGAAAATTTTTTGTGAACCCGTCATACTAATGCCAAAAGAACCATAGTCTCACGGTATATAGCATGACAATCCTGTATTAATAGTTCGCACACAGCTTAGATGTTTTCTGAAGTACGTTAAATCTGAGTCCTAAATCGGCCAAATTGAATATAGGAAAAAAACTTGCTATCACCTTTTTCAAATTTTATAAATCATATCTTCAAATGTTATATAAGGTAATTCCAGTACAAAGCTGTATAACACCCATGTAACAATTATGGACACATCTAATTTTCTTTTAAAGCACAGCTTTGCAAAAAACACATTCTATAATTTAAAGAAAATCGGATGACGATTTAACGATCCGTTTACGTCTCAGTCATCGCAACTGCCTTAAATTTTTAATCTCATTTTAAAACTCAGTTTTATTTCTCGGCTCATCGGTAAATAAGCACGATACATAAAGGGGAGGGAAATATGAAGACGAGTAAAAATTGAAAAAACAAAAGAATAAAAGTGCAAGTTCTTCTTTTGATCCATATCCTTCAGACCAGCACATTTTTCATTAAATTACCCCTTTTTTTTACCCCACTCCCCTAACTCTTTTCGGAAGAAGATTTTATTATTTTTTTATTTCTTATTTGTTTTTCTGGTACGCTGCTCAAAATTCACGGTCAATACTTTTACCATAAAATACTCCTTTATATTGCTTTTGAAAGTTCTGGGACTTTTTTCCCCTCCCTGAAATCATTCTTTCCCTTTCTGCGATGTTAGGGAAGAGATAGACAGAGAAGAAGGGAGAGAGATGCTGAAGTAAAAGCAACTCTGGATGATAGAATTTTTAAAGGCCTAAAGGCACTTCTTTATGCGTCTGCGTGATGTTTGCTCTGATGGCATCTGCAGTTGCCCGGGTAATGGGATGGGTTTGCCATTGTTTCATCAGAATATTCCAGAAGTCGGCAAGATTGGTGCGTCGTTCAAGTAAAGACTTTCCGCATCTTTTCGTATGTGCCCTTTAAAAAAAAAAGGAGAATTGAAAAACGGGTTTACGTATGGAATTTTTTTTCCGATTTCGCGTTTTGTGTGCTTTCATGTCGATGCTGTTACTGTGTCCGACGGAATTTCGGAGAGAAAAATTTTATTCTGTTTGGAATGTGATTTCTATTGTTTGCGAACTACTGCTGCGAGCTAACAAAGTGATTTTCCGATCCCTTATAAAACAATCTTCGATGTGCTTTTTCTTCGAAGTGAATCTAACATCTCTGAACAAAAGGAGTGTAAACAAAAGAAATGAGACAATGATGGTATCGAATGAAGTATGCATAAAATTCTGAAGATTTAGAGAATGCAAGGCGATGTTTTCTCAGCACAATAACTAATACTTTATCTGCGTAATGCAACAAGGGTATTATTTTAGTGTCACAATATGCCTCACATACTGCGACAAACGACACAATAGAATAATTACGATTTTATGTAAAACCAGAATTGCCTTCCTATACTTTGAACTGCAAAAATAAAATCCAGTTAAATATCATTAATTTCAAGATACAGTTTACTAATAAAGGTAACCCACATTAACGACGCATGTTAACGTGTTCAACTAAAGTGCAGGAGGCATTATATTCGATTCCACTAGTCACGTCCACTTGCAATCATTGCTTTAAGAAATGATAATACTAGATGATAATTGCAAAAACATGTCAAGTTTTGTCACATCGATAGTAATTGGGGGGAGTTTTCTGAATTTTATGTCATACAACAGCCAGATTCGACGAAGTTGTACCTTACACGTAAAGCTAAGTCATCACCTCATCTCTCACCAGTCTGTTGTTTGTAGCAGTGGAACATGATGGCCACCAATTGTTCTGAAAATATATAGAGTCACGAGAAGTAAATATAAACCAATTTTATAACTTTTATATAGCCATATTCACACTAAAGCGTGGAAACGTGAAGCTTCAACCATTAACAAGCCTGAGTAGTCACTCGCTAAGATTTGTGATCGGTCGATATTTCATGCCGCTTGACACTTTGGCGTGAATCCAGCTTTACTCTTTTTTAAACCAAAAATAGTTAGATGTTATAACCCTAAGTATGGTTATTGATTCGAGGAAGTGGTATATAAAGCGATGTACATATGGGATCATAAAATTAATAAAAACATAATTTTAATACTGGTATGTGGTGCAGAATAATGACATTATTTATAGAAAGTAATATTTTTCTGCTTACAGGACCACGGTAAATAAAAGCATTAGTTATCAGGTAGTTTTCAAAAGATTACTTGTTGTTGTTTCTTATCCCACTTGGCTGGCCAAGCCCACGAGCCCGTCCGTACTCATGATTGAAGGGGAAGGAAGCAGCTTCTGTTGTGAGGGAGCACCCGTAGGTAGAAGTCTGACTTTGGCTCCGTGACGCTCTTACAGTCATAGGAGACCGGGACCTACTGCTTAAAGTGGATTCCGAACCACTACAAACATCCATGGCACCGTCGGGATTCGAACCCGAAACCGTGGCATCGAGCGCCAGAGCGCTAGACACTCGGCCATTCAGGTCCCAAATTTGTGAATGCCAACGGCACGCGGTGTTCTCAGGTGGTCACCCACCCAAGTATTGACTTCGGTGATCTAACGAGAACCGGTATATTCAGCATGGTATGGCCGTTGGCTAAAAGATTACTTTATGGTATTTGGATGACACTTCTACCTAATTTTACCTGTATCATTGAGTGTTCTTTATTAAAAAAGATTCTTTCGATTTTGTCAGACAAAATCAGAAATTATCACTTTAAGTATTAAACAATATTAGAAAAATAATAATTTCACTGAATTTATGGTTGTTTAAATTCAAAGTTCTATTTGAACCACACTTAAATAAATATGATATGATTATATTACATTCTAGTCCTTACATAGGACATAAACGCCACGTCTGTTCACTCCAAGTCTGTTCAACAACGGTCACTATTTTAATTTGTATAAGCAAGTCAGAATCTTTATCTGACTGACTCATAAGCCACACCCTCCCTGTTGCTTCCCAAAACGAAAACTGGAAAGGGTTAAGGAGCTCGTTAACTGAGAATCTGTCTTGTGCGTCACCCTGACGAAGACGGAATGCCTGTCGACTCTTTGGATGCAGTTGACGAAATCCAACTGTCCGGGAATGAATTCGCAGGTCAAGCAGTCCGGGAGGCTTCCAGCCGGAGGGGTTAATGAGGGCGCTTCTGTGTTTGCTGGGGATGCGTAATCCGGCAGTGGGAGGGGAAGGGGGACGGGGTGATGAACTTGCTCCAAGTCGAGATTGCGGGAAGTTTTGAAGATGTTTATGTTAACGGACGCGGCAGGGTTATTTAATATCTAATGTCACGAGCACTGTTTTATGAGCTGGATGTTATTGCACGTGTGGAATTGGAAAAGTATGTTGTGACAAATATGACATTTAATGAAATACAGTAAAATATTTATTCGTTTGGCTATACGTTTAGCTTTATTATTCCGTTTAATGACGTGATATAAGTTTTTTAATTAAATAATCAATAACTTGTTGAATTACATTCTACCGAATTTTAGTAAATGTAAATACAAATCATTTTTAAAAACATAAATGAGTGAAATAAATATAATTTTGAAGAAAAACACTTTTAAATGTCTTGTGACGGTTTTAAAAATTATTCATTTATTTGATACTTAATATTATAATGTACTTTTTCCGAAGTCGAAAAAAACCATAATTATGGTTTATAAAAATTAAAAAGAAAAATCAAATAATTTCTTTTTAAATTACCACATCAATATGTATATGGCATATACAAAATTCGTAGATTTTAAGTTCTAAATATATGTTCAACAGACATTTAGAACTTTGATGTAGGGGGAGTACAGAAAATCTAAATATTTTTAGTCTATAGCTTAACTTTCTAGAAAGCAAATTAACCTGGCCATATTCAGCATAGACTTAAGATATAACTTCACTCGACAAGATCGCAACGAACTCCTTTATTTCATTATTATAACACTTTCATCAACATGGTACTTAAAAGAAATTGAGTTCTCTAATCATACTAAATTCACATTTTCTATTTTGTAATCAATGTGGAATTCGTAGGCTCTGTATTATATTCAAAGTGTAAATAAGTAGGGCCCTCAAAAATTCTCCATTCTTTTTAAATGATTCTACATTTCAATAAATTATTTACTTCAATTTCAGTACTTTTATTTCATCCTTCTCCATTTTTTTATAAAAAAACAATGATAAACAAAACTGGTTTCGATAATGAATTTTCTAAGTTTTATTATAATATTTTCGGATAAAAGTTCTTCTTGTATGTGTGTTAGTGATAGTTAATTTTCCCTTCGAGTCAAATTTTACTATTTTATTTAGTATAAAATAAATAATTGCCACGTGAAGCGATTTCATTTCAAAGAAATCCTTTCACGAGATTTTACATAATAAACATTCCGGCAATTACTGAGGAATATTTCCGTTCAACTAATTACCTTTTGTTAAAAATCAATTTCTGAGCTCGTTGGGAGACAATACAGAAGAGATTGAAATATTTTTAACAAACAATCATTAAGGTTCTCGTTGAATAACTCGCAGAACGGAGCGAAACTGCTGGGAGTTCTCATTGTTGAATATTAATTTGTTTAATTAGAACTAAAGTAGAAATCCACTCAACGGAAAATTATCAGCTCACTCAAATAAAAGACGAGGCTTCTCATACTCCTCGGAAAATTAATTTTTAAGAAATTTTTCGTTTTATTTGAAGAACCTTTTCGAGAGGATTTCTCGTTAAATTAATTTCTTATGTTTTTTAATTTGATTTAAAACTTTAGATAATAATAAATAATTGCTATAAAGGCAGAATATTGTATGAAAAGAATGCTAGCAACTTTACTGTAAAAAATGCTAACATCGTATGAAAATGAAATCTAATAACTTTATTATATTAGAAAAATTTAATATTTTTTTACTATACATAACTGGACATCTTTTTTTAATAATATACACTTAAAGCATGTATATGGGAATGAATTTAGAATAAACAGGCAAATAATATATTTTTTTCAAAAATAAAGATGGTTGTGCAAATTAATTTAAAAATAAGTTGTTTTGAAAGATTTTTTTAATAACTGATTCACTGTTGGTAAAATGAATATTCTCTAATTTACGGTATCAAAATTCTAATTCTCTAATTTACGGAGTAAATACATTTATTTAAATAAACAAGTAGTGTTTTTTCATATAATTCATCTATTAATAAAATACTTTTTATTCATCCAAGTTCAAATACATTTTTTTTTTAACTTGTAGTAGATGACACTTGATGTTAATACAGTTTTTCAAATATGAATTCAGTAATTAAATTTAATTAATTAATTTTAGTTTTTTTTTAGATTTAAATTGCATATATCTACCAATAGAAGGTGCAAGATAAACATAATAAAATGAATGAAAATTATTTATAAAGGACTTTCTGCAATATAGTGAGAAAAAAAGTAGGAATTAACTTAAAAATTTTTTTTTCATGTTACTTGTTTGTTCCTATACAACAATCAAATTCCTGGCAGTTGACCCTTAAAAGTAAGTCAACGCCTTCTTCTCATTGCTTACCGGCCAGCTATTTATAGCACTGGAACATGATGCCCACCGATTGTTCTGCAAATATATAGGATCAAGTTAAGTAAATATAAACTAATTTTATAACTTACTTTTTTAAACCGTATTCTCAATAAAGCTCCAGCAACGATACGAAAAGCGTCAACCAATCCCAATCTGGAGATGTCGGTCTCTAAGGCTTGTGATTGGTTGAACGTTCATGCCGTGTCACTCGAAGCTGCAGTCATTGCTTTCAGAAATGATGATACTAGGTGGTAATTGTAAAAACATGTAATGTTTTGCATATATAGTCAGACCTAATGTGTTACAGTTTTGTGCGTGTGTGTGTTTTTAAATTCTCATACAACCGGGATTCAGTTATGGGAGTTCCTATACAACAATCAAATTTGAGACAGTCATCCCTTAAATGGAAGAAAACAGTATCTCCTCATGGCTCACCGGCCAAATGGGGTGTGGGTGCGGAGAAGTGACATAAACGTTTTATTTATGTCACATCTTATGCAGTACCGCTGTTAATGAAAGCATTGATTATCAGGAAATTTTTCAAAAGATTACTTTATGGTATTTGGATAATCCCTAAACCGAATTATATCTGTGCCGTCGAGTGTTCTTAATTAAGAAAGATTCTATCGATTAGTCCTAATTTTGCAAAATTATAATTTTTAAAGACTCTATGGTGTTATCCTAATTTGGAAAGATTCCATCGATTTTGTCGTACGAAATAAGTAATCATCACTTTAAGTATTAAACAATATTAGATAATAAATAAGTTCACTTAATCTATGGTAGTTTAAATTCGAAGCTGTATTTGAACCACACTTAAATAAACATGAAATGATAATATTACGTTCCAGTCCTTACATAGGCTACAAACGCCTCGTCTGTCCAATCCAAGTCAGTTCAACAACGTTCACTACGTTAATTTGTATGAAACAAGTCCGACCTTTATCTGATGGACTCATAATCCACACCCTCCCTGTTGCGTCACAACACGTAAACTGGGAAGGGTTAAGGAGCTCGTTAAATCCGAATCTGTCTCGTACGTCGCACTGACGAAGATGGAATGCCTGTCGACTCTTTTGATGCAGTTGACAAAATCCAACTATCCGGGAATGAATTATCGGGTCAAGCAGTCCGGGACGCTTCCAGCCGGAGGGGTTAATGAGGGCGCTTCTGTGTTTGCTATGGATGCGTAATCCGGCAGTGGGTGAGGAGGGTTGGGGGGGGGGATGAGCTTGCTCCAAACCGAGATTGCGGGAAGTTTTGGAGCAGGGAGATGTTTATGTTAACGAACGCGGCAGGTTTATTTAATATCTAATGTCACAGGCATTGTTTTATGATCTGGATGTTATTGCACATGTGGAATTGGAAAAGTTTGTTGTGACAAATATGACATTTAATGAAATATATTCAAATATTTATTCGTTAGAATATATGGATAGCGTTATTACTCTTTAATGGTTTTTATAGTTAAATTATAAGGTTTTTTTTACTTAAATATTAAATAACTTACTAAATTATATTTTACTTAATTTTAATAGATGCGAATACAAATCTTTTTTAAAATCATAGATTTGAGAAATAAATATACTTTTAAATAACTTGTGACGTTTTTACAAAATTATTCGTTCATTTGATGCTTAATATTCTACTATAGTATGTACTTAGATACTTCATATAGTACTTTTTTTGGACTGGTGTGTTGCTTTTTTTGGAGGAAAGACATAATTATGGTCTAAAAGAATGCAATTGGGTGTAGATAATCAAATAATTTTATTTATAATTACCGAGTACCCAAAGGCCGCTTTGGCCCTCGGTACCGCATGTTTTAGGTTCGAATTCCAGCGGTGCCATGGATGTTTGGAGGGGTTCGGGATCCACTTTAAACCTTAGGTTCCGGTGTAATATGATAGTAGAGTATTGTGGGTCACGTCCGTAGCATATCCTCATGCTACACATGCCCCCTGGGTAGTGCTAAATGAATAACATCAATGCAGCCCTTTCTTAAAGCATAAAGATAACTGTTCAAGTAATTGCGATCAGCA